CCAGTACCCCAGGCTCCCCCTGGGAGGTGGCCCTCTTTATAGAGCCAGCTCGTATAATCCTGCCTCTACTAAAAAAGTGGCCAGAGAGATAGGGCTGGGTGACTCAGATACAGAGTAAGATTTAAGATCCTTTAATAATATGTAACTAGAAGCTGAAACATAGCATTTGTGTCAAAGCTGTAATTGCAGTAATATAATCAAGTTCCATCAGCCAGCTTTATATTTATCACCTAAAGGCAATAAATAAATTTATTACAATGCAATCATAAATTTAAGGGTTAGTCTAGTGACAGAAGAAAGTGATGTTTATTTTCTGGAGGGAGAGGGGCAAAAAGGGATTGGCTTGGGGTTCTTGGGGTCCTTTTATCAAGAAAACCATGCCTGTCTATGTCCTCATTCAGGTGATCATATATATGTGCACACTTACTTATTCATTCAGAAAATACTTTCTGAGAGTTTTCCATACATCAGGCCCAGTAGTGAAGGGGACACAGCTCCTGCCCTCAGTGGTTTTACATTCTAGGAGGGAGACCAATGCATATACAATCATCTATAATGTAGAATGATGAGTGCTGGGTGACTGAGCCAGAAATTGAACCCAGGTCTGCCTTTTTACTCTCCTATATCACCTCCTGATGTGAGTTCACCAGTATATGTGCCCCTCTCTGTAGCTGTGTTCTGCATGTTTATGGACATGTGTGATGTGTGCTAATAAATCTCTGTATAGTGGGGCATAGGCATACCCCTTTATGTGTATTGTATGTTTATTCAGTGTTTATGTATGGGTATGCACATCTGTAAGTCCCTGCATGTTTAATTTCATTTGTGCCTGTGTGCATGTGTTTGTGAATATGTGACAGCATCGTACACACATTTACATGTGTGTACATTGTGTTCTTGTATATATGAGACAGAGTAGTAATTGTTGGGGGTGTCACACATGTAGGCATGTCAGAGCATGTGCAATTGTGTGCCTCTTCACTGGGTTGTGTATGTGTCTGGGTTTTGTTTTTGCTACCCAGGTGTCCCTGGTGGTGAACGTGGCTAGCCAGTGTGGCTTCACAGATCAGCACTACCGGGACCTGCAGCAGCTACAGCGGGACCTGGGGCCCCACCATTTCAACGTGCTTGCCTTCCCCTGCAACCAGTTTGGCCAGCAGGAGCCGGATAGCAACAAGGAGATTGAGAGCTTTGCTCGCCGCACCTACAGTGTCTCTTTCCCCATGTTTAGCAAGATCTCAGTCACTGGCGCTGGTGCCCACCCTGCCTTCAAGTACCTGACCCGTGAGTCCTGAGCTTCTCCCTCACCTTCCCTTAGCTGGCTGAGGCCGTGGCTCCCTGGGCAGCAGGGACCACTGGCTGGCTGGATGACCTGGGGCCCCTTCCTGACCCTTGCAGGTGGGTTGATGGTCTGTTCTAGCACTGAACTTTGAGGATGAGCTGAGGAGTATTCTTGCCTAAGAATACCTGCCCGCTGCTGCCTTGCAGTTCTCCCTCAGAGTCACTCTTGCAGATTTCTCTGGGCTCCTGTTTGCTTCCACAGGGGCTCCTAGGAGGAGACTGGGCCTTCAGGTTTTAGTCAGTGTAAATTCTTTGGGCTTATGGACGTAGCTGCAGATAGGGGATGCCGCATGCCTGGAGAAGGCTGGCTGGTGTCTCCTGTCCTGAGCCAGAGGCAGAGTCTGTATAGGCCACAGGAGAGAAGTCTTCTGAACTAAAATACCAGATTTTAATATTTGAGAAATAGATCCCTCCTCCAGAAAGCTCCAAACCACAAAATGGGGTCCTTGGCCAAGCTTGTCTTTAGGTCCTATTGCCTTCCTCAGGCCTTTCTTTTCCTTTGGGGGCTCCATTTTCACCTTCTCCCGCCTCCCACTCCATGCTTCTAGCTGCCCTCATATCCCTCAGCACCACCCCCCAACTCATCCACTTGGAAGAGTAAATGCAAACACAGTGTAGCAAACAAAAGGTCCCTTACTGAGGCAATTTGAATTTTGCTCTGTGGGTCAATTCCAATATTTGCTTTTTTTCCTCCCTGTGTGTTTTTATTAGTTCCTTCCCAGTTCCCATAGTTATAGATCAAACCTGGTCGTGCTTTAGAAGCACCTGGGGAGCTCGTAAAAATGCATTAGCCCGAAACCTACTGAAGCAGGGCCCAAGAATCTGTTTATTTTAAGTGCCCCCTCCACCACCACCACGATTCAGATGCAACAGTCCATGGACTAACATTTGGAAACCATTACGATTTAATCAGAGCGTCAGGTAGAGACTATTCAGTACTTTGAGGTCATTAATAAGGGAAGATCTGATACTGCCTTATCAATCACTTCGCAGAATCCTAAAGCAGTAGTTCTCAACCTTGGTGCCACATTGGAGTCTCCTGGAAAGCTTTTGAAAAATACTGATGCCTGAGTCTCACCCCCAGAGATTCTGATTTAAGTGATCTGGGATGTGGACTGGGCATCAGGATTTTAAAAAGCTCTCCAGTTCATTGTAATGAACAGAACCACTGCTTCAAGGGAGGGGTAGACACAGATAGTGGAATTCTAGGAGAGGGGACCCCAGGAAGCACACTTTGCTCTCTTTCTTCCTTTTTCTCTAGAGACTTCTGGGAAGGACCCTACCTGGAACTTCTGGAAGTACCTAGTGGCCCCAGATGGAAAGGTGGTAGGGGCTTGGGACCCAACCGTGTCAGTGGAGGAGATCAGGCCCCAGATCACAGCGCTTGTGAGGAAGCTCATCTTGAAGAAGCGAGAAGACTTATAACCACTTTCCTTCCTCTCCCACTGTCCCCCACCCCAACCTTGCACGGGTGACCAAAGCAAACTCAAACGGTGCTACCAAGGGAGAGACCACTGACTCTCCTTCCTCCACTCTTATCCTCCCTACCCCATTACTCCCGTGGGGGAGAAAAATCTATTTTGATTATTTGAATCTTGGAGCAACCTATAGGAACTCCTGGCCAGTGAGAGCTTTTGACCAATGGCTCACCAGCCAATAAGAACCTCTAGCCCATGAAAACATGTGGCAAAGAAGTATTTCAAGCAGTAATCTCCTACCTGTTAAGAACTCTGTAAAATGGGGCCGATTCCTACCTTACAGTGCTGTTGTGAGGATGAGGATGAAAGGCCTATAAAAGTGCTTAGGACAGTGCCAGCTAAGTAGGAGGCATTCAATAAATGTTTTTTTGCATATGAACCAAAAAATAACTAGTGATCAGTAAAAACTTGCACCTAACATGAATATGAATTTCCAGCCAATGAGAATCCAGGCCGAACATTTATTTGTTGATGTTGTTATTGTTTTCCCATGTGTTATTTTAATTACAAAAGTAATACAAATTCGTTGTCAAATAATACAAGATGATACAAAATAAAAATGAAAGTATCCCCCTTATTTTCTGTACTCTCACTCCCTGGAGTAAACACTGTTAGCAATTTGGTACAAAATCTTCCCTGACTTCTTTTTAATCAAGCCAGTCATTGCCCAATAAGAATTCACTGACCAAAAGTACACTACAATTACAAACAGGCAAAGGATATAAATAGATAATTCACAGAAGAATTTAGATGGATAATAAAGATATGAAAAGATGTTCAGTCTCATTCAAGTTGGAAAGGCTTTTTAAATAATAATACTCATTGCTGTTAAGGATGTGGGGAAATGGGCATTCGCGTGAACTGTTGGTGGGACAGCAAACTGGCACAAGTTTTGGAGGATGATTTGTCAGTATCTTTTCAAATAAAATATTTATATGCTCGGATCCAGCATTTCTCCTTTTAAAAGACCCCCAAATTACAAATAGAAATATAAAATAATATGTATGTACATTGTTCATAATAGTGAAAATTTCATACATCCCTGTGTCCATCAGTTATGGTCTGGTAACAAATTATGGTACAAATTCAAATGATATACTAATACAGTCATTAAAATAAATGAATTAATTTCTATGCTACCATAGAAATTTGTCCAAAAGTGAAAAAGGGCAAGTTGTAATGAACACATGTGCACACACAAAAAACATCCAGTATAAACAAGTATAATATTTTTATTAAAAACTTATAATGTTAAGTGAGAGGGAGAGATGGAGACTAAACTGTTAATGGTGGTGCCCATGAGGGGGTGGGGTGGGATAACAAAAGTCATTCACTTTCTTTGTCAGCTATTTCTGTAATGTTTGAATTTTGTATGTAAAATATATATTTCACTTTTATATAAATATAAAAAAAGGCAGCTAAAAACTGGGGTGATGAACAAAGTTTCTGATCGATAATTCATTGGCCAATGAGAATTTCATGTCTGCTTCCCCCAAGGCCACTCTTCTAGAAGAAGGAGACTCAGATTCAAATCCTGGCTGTGCCCTTGACTCACAGACTGAAAAATTGTTCCCTCTCTCCAGTCTTCCATTTTCCCACTGGACAGTGAAAGGGTTGGATTGTGCTCACAATTCAACCTTAAAGTCTCCCTTAATGGTCCTTTTCAAAAGCTGCCCAGAGTAAATGAAGGCTATCTGTGGGCTGACCACAAACCACCCTATAGTGGCCTCCAGCCTGTCCTTACACACCCTGCTCTAAGCAGTGGCTCTGCACATGCTCATTTGCACATGCACAATGTAACCCAGGTATCAAATTTTTGTGATGGACATCTCTCTGACCTCATCCAGCTTCATCTCACATTGCTGATCATATTCTTCTCCCTGACACATTCTCCTCCCTTAGCTTTCATGCCCCTGTCTTCTCTTGGTTTTCCCCCATCTTTCTGAGTGCTCCTTCCTCCTCAGTGTCGGTTGATGTCTCTTCCTCCTCTGCCAACTCCTTCCCTGTTGGTCTTCCTTGGGCTTCTAGGCTGGTCCCTTTTCTCACTCCATATACTTCTACAACCATCTCATTTTTTCTCATGGTTTTGACAACCACCTACACCCTGACGACACCCAAATCTCTACCTGTATCTACACTGGATTCATTTCCACTTGCCTACTGGGCATGACTAGGAACACCTCAATTCAGCATCTCCAGAACTAAACTCATCATCTCTCGCTGGCACATCTGCTCTCCTTTCCACCCAGCCTTCACAACCCCCCACAAGCCTTCTCTTTCACACACCCCTCAGTTGCTCACGTATACACTATTCTTATTGTTTAAGCAACTGCCTTTCCTTCTCTCCTCAGCACAGTGCCTAAACTTTAGCAGATGAAATTTAATTATATGGTAAGCATTTTGAGCACCGGCTCCATGCTTTTCCTGCCAAGACCCTCTCTGGAAAACCAAAGAGCAAAATTTCCTCCAGAAGTCTAGAGGATTTTTTTTTCCAGCTGAGGATTCGTCACTCCTAGTTAGACCTACATTCCTAGGCTTTGTCAGCTTTCTGCTGTTCCCCAGTCCCCTTCAATGTGCAAAAGTCCCCCTAGGAAAAATCTCACTTTAAATTGTTATCAAGTGTTACCTCAGTAGTTGGTTAAGCAGTATCTGCTAACAACTTAGTTTTAAATTAATCTCTTGGTTATCAGCTAACACTTGCATAGTTAAGATTTTATTTTCTGCTAATGCCTTAATTACCTTCTAACACTTTATTTATAAGCCAGATACTTTATTTGTTAGGTTATATCTTAGCACTTAGTAGTTTTGCTATTTGCCATGCCTTAATTACTGATCAATATTTTAGTTGTCTGCTTAAATCATATTACTGACCCCTTAGCTCTCTGCTATTAGTTTAGTCTATTAGCCAGCCAGAGATGAGGAGTTTGGGGAAGAAGTCATTTCTGGCTGTGGATATGACAAAGGCCTTTGTCTTTTGCTGAGCTCTCTTTTCACCCTCAGATGATTCTCATTCACCATCAACTGGTCCCAGGTCCTCAGAGAAAGGAAAGTTCCATCCTAGCTGCTTATTCTCCTCTGCAAGCTGGGCTGGAGTGTGGAGGGAGGAGAGTGTGACTGTGGAAGTGGGACTTTCTGGAAAATTATGGTTAGAAGGGACATTCATTCATCAACAATTATTTCTTCAGCATTGCCTATGTGTCAAGTTCTGCATTAGGTCCTACAACATGTGACCAAAATACACATGTTCCCATCTGTCATGGTGCTCAGAGAATTGTGGGAAAGATTAACACTGAACATACAATTATACCAATTATTATGTAATTACAATTACAATAAGCACCAGGAAGAAGTACCAGGAACCACAAGCATGTACAGAAGTGGCATTGGACCTATTCTGCAGTTCAGAGGAGGCTTCCCTAAGAAATGACATTTAAGCTGAGAGCTGAAATTTTAATAAGAGTTAGGGGAAAGAAGTGATGGGGCGGAAGGTTCCTAAACAGATTCAGTGGCTTGAGCAAAGGCTCTAACAGAGGAAGATGCTCAATGGGATGGAGCCAGTGCTGCCTGGAGCCAAGTGATAAAGAGAAGGGCCAGAGAGGTAGGCAGGGGCCAGATCATTCAAGGCCTCGTAGGATCCAGGTAAGAAATGATAGTGACCTGACTTAACATGACAGAGCCCGTCTTCAGGCCCAAATCTGAAGGCCGGAAATAAACCCAGGAGCAGAGGCAGACACTGAACTACTGTCAGGAAAAGTAGATGACTCTGGGGCTACCCAGAACACCAGTCACCATGGAGACCTGTGGAAGGCAGGCAGATCTGACCTCTCCAAGCTCCAGCAGGTCCAACCTGGGGTTGCTGAGGGAATTGCGGAGGCCTGGATCACGACAAGTCACCAAGCTGCTTGCACAGACTCTAGGTCCCCAGCACAGACTCTAGGGACTGCATTGCAGGTGGAATATAGGCCACAATCCTTGCTCTCAGCAAAGTGAAAGGAAAAGGAGAACTGACCTTTACTGAGTGCTCGCACACCTACATCCTCATCCCTGTGAGGTAAGTAGTATGACTTCCATTTTACAGATGAGACTAAGTGAGAAGTCCAAAGTCTCCCAGGAAGTTAATTGCCAAGTAGCAGCTGAAATCCAGGCTGATCTGGCACCAAAGTCTTTGCCTCTCCCTCTATTCTCTGCTTCCTGGACTCTAGCAAAACTCCAGTAGGGACAGGGAGGGTTTAGGGTTAGAGACTGATCCAGGGAGAAGGCCACTTACTCCAGGGTGTAGAAGTCTTGGAGTAAATTCCAGAAGTGGCTTATCTCAGTCTGAAAAAGAACTATGAATATGAAAAATGCTTAATAACAAGTAAAGTGCTGGGCTCATGCTGAGACCAGAGAAGGAGGGAGACAAAGGCAGTGTTTCCATAAAGTTTGGGGACTGGCAGACCCAGGACAAATCCCAGTTTCTGCCATTCCTGGCTGGGTCTTTGCGTGAGTAATTTAATCTCTCTGAGCCTCAATATCTTTATATATAAAATACCAATACCTCAGAATTATTTTTTCATTTATTCTTTCTCCTCCCTTGAACCATATGGCTATGCCGATTTTGAGTGTCCAGCAGAAGGGACAAGTAGGAGTTGAAATTTAGCCTGCCCTCTACTTACTCAGCCTTGCCTTTGGCATAGAGCTACAACAGGCCAGAGGAAGGGGCACTTTTTTCTGATCTGCACAAAAGCACACAAAGGAACAAGAGTGGCACACACCAGCCCTGACTTTGAGAACCAGGCCCCAGGCTGAGTGTGCTGAAACCAGCGCTAAAGCAGGTATAATTTCTGTTCTAGAAGAGCCTGTAGTCTGAAGCTGTAATTCCTAAGTGAGATGATGCTACACAGAAGTGCTCAAAGGGTGGTACACATAGTCAGAGTCAGACCAGAAGATGCTGCAAGAAAAAATGGTAACTTGAGTGTTGGTCACAGAAGGGCTTCCTGCAGGAGGGGTTTCTTCAAGCTGTGTAGAGAGGATTGAAGGGTAGAGAGTATTTAGATAAGCAAAAGGAAGGAACTACATGGGCAAAAACTTGGGAGAGGAGGCTCCTTTCTCAAGTTAGACTGTCTGAATCAGAGGGTTCTTGTAGGAAAGAAGAGGCAGGCATAGTTGGAGAGATATGGAGAGTTCCGATTTTAGAGGTTAGACTGGAATCATTGGGGCTACTTCGACAGCTCAGCTAGAGCCTTCAGAGGATCTCTCTGTTGATAAGTATGTGGAGGGAAAGAATCAAGTGCAGAGAAAAAAGAATCATATAACTCTGCCTCAAAACTCAAAAGAATTCTCTTTAACATTACACTGGAAATCCTAGACAATGTAACAAAACAAGAAAAGAAATAAAAGGCATCAACTAGAAAGGAAAAGTAAAATTGCCTTTACTTACAAGCAACATATTATGCTGCCTGTGAGGAAACTGGTTTTTCATACTAACATAAAAAAATCCTAAGTAGTCTATAAAAAAGCTAGTAGAACTAGGAAGTAAATTTAGCAAGATCTCAGAATACAAGGTAAATATTCAAAAATAAGTTAAAAAAAAGTTGAATTTCTATAAATTGGCAACAATTGAAAAATCACAATAAAAATGTCATTTACAATAGCAAATTTTACAAAATATGCACCAGACCTGTACATGGAATAGTATAAAACATTGCTGAGAGAAATTAAAGAACTAACTAACTAAAGAGATTGGGAATTGAACTGGGAAACTTAATATTAAGATATTAATATTCTCCAAATTGATCTACTGATTCAATGCAATCCTAAGCAAAATCCAAGCAGGGTTTGGGGGACAGAAATTGATAAGCTGATTGTAAATTTTATAAGAAAACGCAAAGGACCTATAATCACTAAAACAATGTTGAAAAGTAAGGACAAAGTTAGAGGACTTATACTACCTAATTTCAA